AGGGATGGAGGGGACAGCCCAGACCATGCCCAGACCCTGCTGGTGCATGGGGAGGGGACATTCATCTTCTTCCTGCAAATTCCGTGCAAGGACCCAGAGGTGACAAGAGTCTAACCTCACTTCTTAAGCCCCAAGGGCCTCCCACTGCCAGCAGCATCCCAGTGAGGGCCTCACTGGGATGGGAAACCTGGCCAAGGAGCCCCAGCTCACTCCCAAAACATAGCTGGCCCGATCCACAGCCTCCCTAAAAAATATTTTAAAGGCTTTGTAATTACTAAATCCATTTCCTAGCCCAGGATGGTGGTCCTCCTCCCATCCCAGCACCAGGAACCAGAGCGAGGGATGCACACAGGGATCCATGGGGGCAAGGATGATGAGAATGCCAGGCTGCAAGTGCTCTTCTAGTCCACAGGATCTTAACTGTAGTTTATATTCCAGTGGTTATTAAAAATAAAGGGGGAAGTAGGGGGAGGAAGCTAAGAGCAGAGCAAGCTGTTCATTTGGAGCCTTTCCCTGGGGTTTAATAAAGCCCCACTCGCTTCTGTAGTATCATTTTTATGCTATCATAAAGCCGGACCATTTAGCAGGTTTGTGTTACTTCAGCAGTTAGCGCTGCATGAGAAGCGATTCCAGAAGAAGGGAGAGAGGGAAAAAAAAATTAGAATATGAAAACCTCCAAAAGGAGAGAGCAAAATGAGGTGGGAAGGAAGAAAGGGGATTCCTCCCAGCCATACCAGCAGTAGCACTGCAGCACATCAGGGGGATGTGAGTGGGTTCCCCCATCCCTGAGCGAAGCTGGGGACAGGTGGAGAGACTCCCGCTGGTACTGAAGGGTCAGAAACTCCATCCCAGCATCCAGGGGGACCCTGCCTGTGCTGGACAAAGGGTGAGGGGATCCTCTCACACAAGGGGATCCCAGGGGTGTTGCACCTGTGGGAACAGGAGAGCCAGGGTGGTTTATCCAGGAGCTCTGTGGAGCTGAAGCTGAGGGATTCCCCGAGGTGAAGGAGCCTGCAGCTCCCCCCAGCCCTACAATGCTCCTCAGGCTGACCTGGCTCTCCCACCCCTCTGCTCCCAGCCCAGGGCAGCACTCCGGGGAGCATCAGGCTCTCCCTGCTGCTGGAAAAATCTCCATATATGGAGAGGATGGGATCTGTGACCGAGCTGAGCCCAGCCAAACTGGCCCAAGGGGAGCCCTGAGCAGCCAGCCCACACTGAGCCGGGGTCCTGGGGCCGTGCCCTGCCAAGCCCCCTGAGCTGGGTGCTACCCACACTGCTGACACCAGCACAAACAGGAGAGAGCCAGGTCACCCCATCCTCCCTGTGACTGCACCCTTCACTGCTGTGCCACCCCCAGGGGCAGCACCCACGCCCTGGTGGTACTCGGGCTGTCCTCCAGGAGAGGAGAGTCATCCCCATCGCTCCCAGGTGCTGGGTTGGAGCCTCTCCAGCCACACTGGGCAAGGCTCCAGAGGCACTGTCCCCGTCCAAGAGAGGAAGGGCAGGGGGTGGCACCAGTGAGAGAGCCACAGAGCCAGGAGCTGCTCCCTGGAAGGATCCTCTGGGGTGCCCAGCAGGACCCTCCCTCTTGCCCATAGCTCAGGGGTCCACAGAGCAGCAGAGAGAGGAAGCAGCCTGGTACCCCAAACCCCCAGGCAGCAATGAGAACTCTGACCATGCTCCCCTTCGCACACCATTTTCACACCTTTTTCCCCCGAATTCATTTCCATTCTGCCCTGCAGGAGGACGCTGGCACTTGGCAGGGGGGTGTCTCTGCATGGCAGCCCCGGCCCCCATGGCAGGCACGGCCGCCACGCTACAGACCCGGCAATATAAAGGAGGAGGAGGAGGAGGGAGGGCTGGGAAATTAAGGTTTTCAGCGCTGTCAGAGCCGCATCAAACAGGCATCCACCAGCTGATGGCTTGATTGTTATATTTTGGATGTCAAACCGGAGCAAGCTGAACCCTTTAAAATGCATCAGTGCCGCTGCCTTTCTGACGGAGGGTGTTGGTTTCCCATTAACAAGAGGAAAGCGTGAGCTGGAGCAGAAAACTTCAAGCGCTTTGGAATTGATAAAATAACAACTCCCTAATTAAGCAGAACTGTCAGTCAGCGGGCGCCCGCTGCCCTGCATCGGGAAGCAGCAGCAGCTCCTGGTGCACAAGCCCAACAAGCCAGCTCAGCCTGTGGGGGGATGCACTTCCCGAGGATCAGCAGCCAGAGCATCCTCACTGTGTTCTCCACCAGACCCAGACAGGTCCTAGTCCTGCTCCCGAGGCTGGGCATGGCCGAGGTGTTTGGGTTCTGTCCCTCAGTTTACCACACCATCAATGATGTGGCTGCCCCATCCCTGCAAGGGGCCAAGGGCAGGTTGGACAGGGCATGGAGCAACCTGGGATAGTGGAAAGTGTCCCTGGCTGTGGCAGGGGGTGGAATGAGATGAGCTTTAGGGTCCCTTCCAACCCAAACCATTCCAAGAGTGTATGATTTCACAAAACCATGTAATGCAATGCACAGCCTGGTGGGGAAGAAGAGGCCTGACCCCAAAATGCAACCCCTGCCAACAGCCTTCCCTTTCAAGAGACAACCACCAGCCTAGGGCACACATTCCTGACACACACATCAGACACCACAGCCAGGTGCACATTCAGCATCCCCACTGCCAGCTGGATGCAGGAAGGGGTCTGGCTGTGAAGATCCTTCCAGTGCTGGAGCAAGGCAGAGAGGGTTTGGAGAAGTCAAGAGTGGGATCTGAAGTGTTCAAAACCAGGTTGAACACAGCTCTGGGCAATAGTGGAAGGTGTCCCTGCCCATGGCAGGGGATGGGATGAGATGGTCTTTAAGGTCCCTTCCAACCCAAAGCATTCCATGATCCCACAAAGTACTGCCAGAGCAGCAGCACAGCCAATGCCCGTGGGGATGCTGGGCCCCCAGACCCCCCCAGACCCCCCATCCTGCTGTGTCCAGCACCAAGAGGCTGTGAAGGAACCAATCAAAGAAGCAGCCAAGATCCTGCTCGACTGCCGGGATGAGCAATGAAAAGCTGCAGCCCTGCCCTGCTTCTCCCAGGCCTGGGGCCAGAGGGAAAACCGACTGCCCAGGTGGCACCTGGGCGAGGGGACACCGAGGGGCTCGGGCAGGGGACAGCCAGGAGGGACCACAGGCTGTGGGGAAGGTGTTTAACCCCTGACATGCTGGTGTCTGATGAAAAGGAGGTCTCTGCTCCTCACTCTGGGCTGTTGCCCTCGCAGCACCAGCACCAGCTGGGCACTGGGCACTTGGCACTTGCAGCACCAGGAGAGGCTCCAGGGCACCCTGCTCTGCCCAGCCCAGGGTGTAGGCAGGGTGGGCAGAGCCCTTCACGGGGCAGTCCTCAGCCCAGCTGGGGGATTCAAATCCCAGTGCAAGGGAGGCTGCCAGGAGGGAAGCAGCCCCAGCAGGGGCACCTGCAGCAGCAGAGCCACCTGCCCACAGCCCAGGCAGAGGCGCTCCAAGCCAGAGATGGGTCAGAGACAGAGTGCACACAGGGGAGCCCACCCGAGCAAGCAGCCCCTGGAAATGACCCTGCTGCCCAACGGCAGCTGGACTCTGAGCCTGTCCTTCCTCCTTGCTCACCACGCAATGTGGAGCCACCAATGACACGTGTGACTGCCTGGGAATCCCTTCACTCCTCATCCCAGCCCCGAGTCCAGAGCCCTGACACATCTCCCGACCCCATCAGTGTATGTCCCCTGCTGTCCCCATTAGTGTGAGCATTGAGAGACCCTTTTTCCCCAGCACGTGCCTGGGCTGTGCAGCTCTCAGCCCAGGTGGAGGTTTGAGAGGCCCCACACAGGCACCACCTCCTGCCACCTCCACAGCCCTGACACCCTTCCCACACCGGGGGAACACCAGCTGCCCCCAGCCCTCCTCCACACACAGCCTGGATACAGGTGCCATATAATCCAGCCCCACAAGAGCCCCGTTTGCACCCAAGAAGGACCCCCCCGGGGTGGGCCGGATCTGGTTGCCACCAACGGAGCCAGGACACGCGTGCCAGGGCTATTGGGTGGTGTGGGAGCCCCCAGAGCCTGGTAACACACTAATCACACTGGAGGTGACAGGGCTTAGGGGAGGACTTAAGAGAAACTGGCTCCTTTTTACTGACACCATCTGGACATAGCCGATCTCTTCCCCCTTTTCAGTGCAGAGCCCAGCCAGAGGGGAAGGGGCTGCGGTGACCCCAGACCCAGCCCCCTCTGTGCCCTCGCGGGTGCTGGGATGGCCGGTGCCATGGATCCCCAGCTCGCAGCGGCAGAGAGGGGAATACTGCCTGCGCCAGGGAATCCTAACGAGCCCACAGTGCCAGCCAAGCACAGAGCCAGGGAATGCCAGCTTGGAGCCGCGGGGACCGTGCGCTGCCTGCCCGGCCCCCCGGGAGGGGGACGCGGCCCCGGAGAAGGCGGGGGCTGAGCCAGCGGGGACGCACTGGGTAAAGCCAGAGTGGAGCCAGCTGCTTGGGAACAGCCCTGCCTCCGGCTGTCCTGCCGGCCACGCCACCGGCACGCGGGGACCTGGCACGGCCGGGGTCCCCACGGCAGGGCCAGGGGAGGTGCGGCGGTGAGGTTAGCATTCGCTGTACCCCGGTACTTGGGGTTGGCACTCACTGTAGCCCAGGGCTGGCTCACCGGGGACAGCCGCCCGCGACCCCGCTGCTTGTCGCCATCCCTCGCCCTGACCTCCCGGGGGGACGGCGGCACCGCTCCGACCCTCAGCCCGAGCCCGGCGGGTGACACAGGGACAAGCTCAGCCCGGCTCCAAAACACAACACCACGAGGCACCAGCTCTACCCAAAACTTGACCGAGCCCTTATCTCCCCGACTGTGAGGACGGCGGGGATCCTCCAAACCTCCCCGCCAGGACCAAGCTGCGGCTGCCCCGGGAGAAACCTCCATGTTCCGGCACACCTTCGGGAGAGAGGGCAAAGTTGCGCTGGGGTTGGGGTCAGGGGGTCAGGTACCTTCCAGCCGGCGGAGCTGTTGCTGTCTCCTTTATCCTTAAAGTAGGGGACGTATCGCACCATCCAGTCGTAGATCTGGGAGAGGGTGAGGCGCTTCTCCGGCGAGCTCTCGATGGCTTTGGTGATGAGGTCGGCGTAGGAGAGGTTGCCCCAGGCGTTGCGCCGGGAGGTCTTGGCCTTGCGGAGCTGCCCCACATCCGCGCCGGGAGGCGGCGGGGGAGCGGCGGCGACTCTGCGCTCCACCGGGGCCGCCGCGTTCTCGGCTCCGTCCCCGCCGGCCGCCAGCGCCGGGGTTCCCCCCGCGCCCCCATCTTCCTCCTCCGCCGCCAAGTCGGGATGGGGGAGAGGCCAAGTGCAGGAGCGGGGACGGCTCTGCGGCTCGAAATCCGGGTCGATCTCCACCTGATGCGCCTGGAGCTTTTCTTCCATGGTCGCCTCCCCGCTGCCACTCCACAGCCCCCCCCCGGAGTTACGGGCGGTTTCCGCCCAAAAAAAAAAACCCCAAACACACAACAAAAAACCCAAAATCTCGAGAGGGAGAGGAGTGCGAAGGCGGGCTCCCTGCCCGGCTGGAGAGGAGAAGAGAAGGAGGAGCCGCTCGGTGCGCGGGTCCTGGCAGGGGGAGCCCCGAGTCCGGGGGAGCCCCGGGTCCGGCGGCTCTAGGAGGCGGCTGTGCCCGGCGCCGCGCCGGGAGCGCCGAGCCGGGGGACACGCTGCATGGTCCTCGGCCGCCTCTCCAGTCCGGGCCGAAGCAGGGGGGGTGTTTTTTGGTTCGGATTTGGTTTTGGTTTGGTTTTTACCAGCCGCGGAGCTCTGGAGCTGTTCCCGGCTCGGTAGCCAGCGGGGCGGCTGCGGGCGGGTAGGGCGCGGGGGCGGCCGCATCCATCGGGCTGGCGGCGCGGTCACGCAGCAACAGATGAACCGGAGCGAGCGGCGGCGGGCGGCATCCTCGGCCGGGGACCGGCGGGCTCCGGGGCCGGACGGCGGGGCACCTAAGCAGGGAGAAGCGGGACGGAGATAGTGGGGAGCCCTCGGCGCGGCGGGCGCAGTCTCCCGCGGGCGGCCCGGCGCTAGGTCCGGCGGCGCGGCGGAGCCATGCTGGCGGGCGGCACGCACCTGACAGCGCCGGCGAGGGCGGCGGCGGGCGGCTCCCGCCCCTACGCCCCCCCGCTCCGCTTCAGCGGCCGCGCACCTGCCCGCCGCCGCCGCCGCCGCCGCGCTGCCGCCACGGCGCGGGCGGGCCACATGCTGGGGCGGCCGCGGCTCGCTCGCTCTCTCGCTCGTTCGTTCGCTCCCTCCTTCCCTCCCTCCGCCGTGCCCGTTCCCGAATGCGGGCGCCGCCGTGACACAGGGGGAGGGCCCGGAGGGGCGGGGGGAGGGCGGGGGAGGGGAGTGCCCCCGCGCCTCGCGGGCAGCGGCGGGGCGGGACGGAGGGGAGCGGAAAGCTCCAGCACCGCGCTCCGGCACCGCGCTCCCCCCGCCCGGCCCGGGCCGCGACCCCCGCCCGGCCCCGCCGCGGCCCCACGTGCGCCCCGGGCGCCCCCCATTGTTGCCCCGGGCCGCCGCCGCCGCCTCATTGGCTGGAGGGGCCCGGTGGCCACGCCCCCTCGGCGCGCTGATTGGACGAGCGCCGGCGGGACGCTCCGCGCGCGGGGGGGATGAATGGGGGAGCGGCCCCGCGGGTGACGTCACGGGTGCCGGCTGGCCGGCTGCATCCGCGCGTCACCCGGGGCAACGCGGCGGGACACGCCCCTTTACTACGGGCCACGCCCCCGCCTCGGCCACGCCCCCGCAGCGCGGCCGGGGAGACCCCGAGCGGGCCCCGCCCCCTTCGCGCCGGCCACGCCCCCCGCCCACGTTGGGGGCGATCCCGATCCCGATCCTGGTCCCCACCCCGGTCCCGATCCCGGTCCCGGTCCCCTCGCTGCCTGTCCTGCCCGCAGCCCGCCGGGCTCGTCCGCCGCTTGCCTCCCCGGTGATGTCCCCGCTGGGCTCGGGCACACGCAGCCCAGCTGCCCCGGCAGGGCGGGAGGACAGCGCTGTTTCCTCCGACTCCGGCGCGCTGCCCACGCTGCTCAGCCACGCACAGCCCGGCACCCACGAGGGTGCAAACCCCTCATCGTGCAGCTCTCACCCAGCACCCACTGGGGACGCTCGCCTGATCCCTGCCCGCTGCATCCACCTCACTGCCGGCACCCCAACATCCTCCTCCTCCTCGTGCATCCCCTGGGGACACGCCCCTGGCACTGCACGCCCTGGGACAGAGGTGTCTGCAGCAGCGCTGTGTCCCCCACCTTTGTCCCTTCCCCACCACCCCAGGGACCGTCCTGCCTCACACTGCCCGCTCTCAGTCCCCACTGCAGATCTGTCCCTGCCCAGCACCCATTCCTGGGTAACGCTGTCACTCAGGAGGAGTTCCCTGCATCCTTCTGGTCTTTGTCACCCTTGGTGCCACCAGTTGTTCCTGTAACAGCGTCTTTCATGCCACAGTCACGTGCAATCCAGTTCGTGCAGCCCCATTCCTGGCCCAAAGGGACGGCCTGAGGTTACCCAAGCAACTAAGGAGCTGATGGTTCCAGCCTGGAAGTGCTCGGCCTGACAGCTCTAATAATATAATAAAGTATAATATAATCTAATAGATACAATATAATATAATAAATATAATACAATATACAGGCGGGACTTGACAAGTGCTCTGTTTCACAACCCACATCGACAGTGATGGCTGCAGAGGCTCCAGCTGGAGCCTCCCTGGAGGCACATCCCAGCAGCTGGGGGTGTGTTCCCTGAGCCCCTGCCAGGCAGCTGGGGACCTGCTGGCCAAGCTCCACATCTCCTGGTGTCACTGCTCCGGGGAGGCTCAGCCAGGCTGCCACCACAGCAACCCTCAGGACAGACCTGACCCCAAAGTCCCCTGAGCGGTCCCCCACATCTCCCTGTGCCTCCCTCCTCCCCAGAGCATTTCTCCAGGGATCTATCCCAAATTTCCCTCACTGTGGTTTACACCCATGACCTATTTCCTCTGCCCAAGGGCCGGCCGTTCCCTCCTCTCTCGCAGCCTTTTGCCCACTTGGAGCCCAGCGATGTTTTTTTCTTCCCTCAGTCTTGCCTTTCTTAGTCAAAACCCTCCCATATTTCTCACCCTCTCTCCCAGCCTTGTTTTCCCAGCACAGCTCCCCAGAGCCAAGCCGAGGGTCCCAGCCTGCACAGCCCTTCCCGTGCTGCTCCGTGAGTGCCTCTCCCTCCTGGGGCTGCTCCATTCCTCCTCTGCTGCAGCGGGTGCCTCTCCCTGCCCTCACCCTCAGCCATCTCACCCCTTGGGGATGGCGCTCACACCTCCCTGCCCACACTGCCACGTCACCCTGGAGCTTTAGCAGCTCCCAGTGCTTCAGAAACACGCTGGTCTCACTCACCTGCTGCCTCAGTTTCCCCACCTGTACAGCAGGGCCAGCCCCTCCAGGCAGTGGTGAGGAAGGTGACAGGTTGGACAGCTTTGTGGCTTCTCACAACCAAAGCTGCTCCCATCCCATGGTGCTCCCATCCCAGGCTTGCCCAAGGCTCATCCCTGACCTCCTCACTCATCCCCATGGATGTGGAGCAGCACATTCCTGGGTGCTGGTGGCCCCATTCCTGCGTGTAAGGCACACACAGGTCTGGGATGCCCAGAGAGGGATGGTGAATCCTCTGTCTCCAGCAGAAACACGAGGCTGGCTCAGCCACCCCTTCCCAAGCACCTGAATAATTCATTATCACCGAACCTGCTGGCAGCAGGCAGGAGCATCTCCACCAGCCAGCTGCACACTGCCACGGGGCCTCAGCCACCACCCGTGGGGACAGACAGGCCAGGGGGCAGAGCTGGGGGGCACCAAGCTGCCACCTCTGTCCCCCAGAGCCCAGGGTCACCCTGGTGCCAGCTGCCTGATCCCAGATGCCAGTGCCCACTGGGGAAGCTCTGTGGGGTAAGACCTGGAATTGCAGAGATCTTTCTGAGTCAATACCCTCCTACACCTCTCACCTGCTGTTCCAGCCCTTTTCCAGAGGCTGGGATGAGCATGGGCACAGAGGGGCAAAGAGCAGAGCTGGTGGCTGGGCAGCAGCAGCAGCAGCAGTGAAGGAGGTGATGGGCAGTTGATGCTGCAGGGTCTGGGTACACAAATCCCCTGCATCCTTGGGAATGGTCACAGTCCAGGCCTGGCAGAGTTCAAACATCATTTGAACAACACTCTCAGGCACAGGGTGGGATTGTTGAGGTGTTTTCTGCAGGGCCAGGAGTGGGACTCGATGATCCTTGTAGGTTCCTTGTCCATAACTTGGGCTATTCTGGGATTCTATGATCCTTCCCTTGCCAGGGCAACCCTTGCCAGATGAAACTCCCTGCTCCATTCTTTCCCTGGTAGTTTCCAGCAGCACCTGGACAAAGGTCCCTGGAGTGCTGTGCTTCACCCTCTCTGTCCATTTGGCCAGGAAATGGGGCTCCTCTGTCCCCCAGCTCTGGGGCAAAAACCACTCTGCTCCTGATGACAATGAAGCCATTCAACACTTTGGTTTATTGTGTGAAGTTCACAATTCAGGAGAGGGAGGGAAGGGGTGACATGGATGTGCCCAACCTTGGCCCAGCACCTCCATGGTGGGAAGAATGAGGCTGAAAGGGTAAAAGGAAGCTCAGGGGAGATGAAGTGGGCAGATCCAACACATCCTGCTTCTTGCCAGTGAGCGTGGCAGCAAGGAGGGGCAGATCTGCCCTGTCTCTACCCCAGACAGCACTGGAGCTGTGTCCACCAGCAGTGCATGCATGGACTGGTGGATACTCCAATGCTCTAGTGCCTGTGGGCTGGTGGATGCTCCAGTATCTTGGCAAAACTGGTCTGAATGGTATCAGAGTGCTGTGAACAGGAGGAGTTCCAGCTCCTCAGCATCTGCCACCCAGTGTTAGGGTCAGGGTCAGGGTTGGTTGGGGTTAGGGTTAGGGTTAGGGTTAGGGTTAGGGTTAGGGTTAGGGTTAGGGTTAGGGTTAGGGT